TCACCACAAGATATCCTGACATAAAAGTAGTTATCATAGTGTCTCTTTCCTTGAAATCTTTGAGTATAACTTCGTATACTGTAGCAACAAACATATCAAGACAATGTAAAACCATTCAAGAGAATGACAGTATTACAGGGTATTTAGATCCAACATTCAGAAAATGAACAATGGTTTCTGTTTAATCTCCTTGTCTATAAAAGTTTTTGCTTATATTATCACATATAATAAAATCCAATAAGATACAACCTGTTAAGATTGATGGAGACAGAATAATAAAAGCTTGATGGGACTTCAGCACAAGATGATACTAAATCAGCACTAGCTATTACGATGTCTTGTTTTCCCCAAAACAGCTGTTCCTACCAGCCAATCTTCTCTGTCTCATTTCTGTTGAGCTCTTTTTCTGTCATTTGTTGTCAGTTTGTCTTCTTCATTTCGCTTTCTGCTCCATTCATTGTGGCCTCTCTGCCACTGTTTCTGAAGTCTTGGTATTTTCCTTTTTTAGAATATCCTGCAGTATTCTCTGTAGAGTTGAATTGGTGGTTGCAAATTCCCCCAGTTCCTCTTTATCCTGGAAGCACCTTGTTTTTCCATCAATTTCTAGGGACAGTTGTCCAGGATATATCAATCTTGGCTGGAAGTTGTTATCTTTCAAAGGTTGAATTACTTCCCCCCCATGCTCTTCAAGATTTGATGGTTTGTGCCAAGAAGTCCATCGTAATCCTGATGGGTGTTCCCTTGTAAGTGATCTGTTTCTTCTCTCTGACAGCTTTTAACATTCTGTTCTTATACTGGATTTGTGGAATTTTGCCTATTATATGCCTAAGTGTAGCTCTGTTTGGGTTGTACATGACTGGGGTCCTGTATACCTCATACATCTGAGTATCTTTAACAATTTGCTAAATTAAGGAAATCCTCTTGGATTATTTCTGTGAATAGGTTTTGTAGTCCATTTGTTTGTGTCCCTACTTCTTCTTTTATGTTCTCCATTCTTAAGTTATATATCATCTTATCATCTTCTAGCCTTTGTATTATTGCTGTTTGTTTTCTTGTTATTTTTAAGAGGTTTTCATTTCATGTTCCCATATTACAAATCTGCCCTCCAATTCAGATAATCTATCCTTAGTTTCTTTCAAGCTGTTATGCCAGCTTTAGATAGAGTTTTTAGTTTGCTGGTAATCTCTTTGAACCTGCTTCACATATTCTATGTTTTCTCTATTTTCTCCATCAACCAATTCTCTGGGTTTTTTTTTCTGCTTCCATTCCACCATCTGTTTTTTCTTGGGCAATGCTTAGCATTTCTCTAATGATCCTACTTATGTCTTGCTTTATTTCATTAAATCCTTCATTTTTAAACTTGTCTGTGAAGCTCTGGAGATATTGCTTTATGTGTATTGGTGCCGTGTCTGATATTGCATGTTTTCTGTCTTCCTTTGCGTTTCCCTTTCCTGGATCAGTGTTCTCAGGATTGGGGACTGAGGACCCTTTCTTGTTGCTTCCTCTTCCCATACTTTTTGTTCCTTCCATACAAGTGAATGTAGGAGGCCCAATTTTTTTTCTCTTTGTCGGTTACAATTTGTTTGAATTGCACTGGCTAGGTGTTCCTGCCCACTGCAGTGTAGTAGGGAGACACAGACATGGGCAGCCTCTGCTGTGCCTGCCCCTCCAGGTCAACCTACTGAAGGCTTCACCGCTAGGATGCACCTCCAGGTGCTGGGACCTAGTTTGGGCTAGCCTACTGGGTCTTAGTCAGCAGCGTCACACAGGCCAGGCACTCCCCACCAATCCTGCTTGAGAGGGGAATATGCGGCTAATGGCACTGCAGTGCCCTGTTCAGGCAAGTCTGCCCAGTCCCAGTATGTCCTTTGCTGGAGCCTCTTACTCTATGAAAGGATCCTCGTTCCACTCACTCACTGCAAGTCCATGTAGGGCTCCCTGCTAGTCCTGCTCTCAACTCTGTTCACAGATTCCCACCCTCTGAACTTTTGTGTGTCTCTCTCCCTGCCGTGCAGATTTAGACGCAGCACCGGCAGCAGAAAATTCAAATCACAGCTTTCAGTGGCATAGGTTCTAGGTTCGCAAGCTGAGATTTTATCTGTTCCTGTTATAGCACCAGGATTAGATTTCCAGTTCGTTTCTCTTAGCTTAGTTCATTCCTGGGTCGGCAGGGTGTATCTACCCTTGCTTAGTGCTCCTTGTACTGCACCATTCCTGGATTTTAAGTGGGGTATCTCAGAGAGCCTCCATAGCTGCTGCTCTCTATCCACCATGTTTTCCCAGCCAAGTATCTTAGAATCTGCTGGATTTATGACAAAGCCTTCTCTTGTTTTGGGCCACATTCAAGTCTAGCACCTTTCAAGCCATTTGGGAAATGGGCAAGTACAACACAGCTAAATGAGGAATGTGTTGTTTCCAAAACTTAGGGAGGCTTAGTAGATGTTGTGTTTCAGGGTTGGTTATAGGGAGAGCCACATGCAACACTTTATCTTTTACCTTAAAAGAGATTTCTCTAAATGTCCCGTACAAGTAGATTCCTAGGCATTTCACAGATTAGAGGGGTGTGAATTTCAGTTGGATTTACTTCTCATCATTTGTCACACAAATGATTTGCCAAAAAGTCCCAGGTGACAGCTGCCTCCTGTTCCCTTGGTCCAGTCAACATAATTTGGTCAATGTAATGTACAAATGTGATGGCTTATGGAAGAGAAAGATGATCAAAATTCTTGCAACTAAGTTATGATTCAGGGCTAGAGCATTAATGTAGGTAACAAAATAAAGGTGTGGCTTCCCAATTGAAAGTAAATTACTTTTGGTAGGAGTTACACATAAGTATGCAGAACACTGAAATTCTCCAATCAATTGTTGCCTGCCAGGGACCGGGAGATATGTTAATTTACTCAAGCAAGGAAAGCACATCTGAAATTGGTTAACCTAATGGTAATCCACATCATTCTCTGAGGTTCTCCGCCTAGCCCAAATAGGAGAGTTAAGTGCTGTGTGATGGCAGATACCCTTCATATGTCTTTCAAGTCCTCGCTGATGGTGGTAATCTCAGCAATACCCCCAGGGATGTGATACTGTCTTTGTTACTATTTTCCCAGGTAGAGGCAATTCTAATGGTTTCACTTTAGCCTTTTCAACTCTGTAGATTAGGGGACTCTGTAGGGATTCTGCGAAGTTCTATCTCTATCTACCTCAATGATGCATTCTGAAATTCAGGAAATGACCACAGAATAAATTTGGAGTCACACTGGACCCACGTGAGCAAGGCATTGGCAAAATTTCCATTGATTACCTGAGCTTGACAGGCCCCTATGCCCACTGGAGGGCCACAGTGACACATGAGATTTCCGGGAATCAGATTTATTTCAGAACCAGTACCCAATTGTCTTCTAAGCGTCTAATAATTTACCTCTGCAAGTACACGGTTACCTTGGCAAATGCCTGAGTGACTTTTAGAGAAGAGGGGAAAAGATTGCAGCATAACATTTGGCAATGCACCAAGTCCTTCCTGAAGGGACACAACCTTGTCTTCATTTGAGGCCTTTTGGTTTGGTAAGGTGGCTCAACTCTGGGAATTGGTTGAAGGCCCAACTAACCTGCAGGAGCCCCATGGCCCTGAGCAGCTTTGGGCTGAGTGTGCTCTGTCTGTCCAGGCAAATGGTCCCTGAGAAGACAGCAGATCTGCAATCTAGGCCCTCTGGAGCCGCACTGAGGGGCATGCCCCAGAGAGCAGCAACCCCAAGAGGAGCTAAGGTGGCCTGGAAACTGAAAGCAGAAGGGAGGAGAGGCTGCCTCTGCTCTGTGGGCCAGGCTGCACCTCTGTGTCCTGTGGGCTGTTGGTGCAGAGGGCTGAACTCAGCACTGGAGAGGAGGTTCGGGGGGACTGTGATCCCCAGGGCTGTGACTCAGGCCCTGCCTCTCTGGCTCCCTGGCACTGCCTTTTGGGAGTTGCACCTGGCCTTGTCTTGGAGCACTGGTGGCTCATGGCACCCCTGTTCTCTGTTCCTCCCAGGAAGCTCCCTTAAGTACTTTTAAAGTCCCATGCTGGAGTTCAGAGGGACAGCTGTTGCCTTCAGGGCCCTTGTCCTCCCATCTGGCACTGAACTTCGTAGAGGCTTCTAATCCTTTAGTAAAAAGCACAAACCTTCCTTCAAAATTCAGCCTAAATCCACATCCTGTTTAAGACTGAAATCAGCTCAAGGAAAAATTCTGTGGTGGTCAGGATCCAGCAGGCCGGACATGGGGTCGTCTCATGAGAATGGTGGGTGTGAGGGTCTCCAAGCCTGCTGCTGAGTCCCATGTGTCTATTCCACTCACTCAAGCCTGCATGGGTCCAGCCAGTGGCCAGGGCCTCTTAAGTTTAGCCCAGCTTAGAAGCCTAGTTCCTGGGGGTACTGGTTTTCCCTAGAACTTTTCCCGTTGGGTTCCCAGCAGACCCTAAGAAAGCTGCAGTGTGGTGCAGGATGACCCTGTTCTCCTGCTTAGAAGCCCAATTGCTGCTGAATTCTCTGAGCTCTGGGCTGTTTCTGTTCCACTCTTCAGTGCACAGGTGATGCACAGTGTGATGTGGCCTGGCAGGACCGTTCACTGGCGATGACACTGTGTATCTTACACTCTGCTCACAGCTGCTGCCCTGTATCCGAGGTTGGGAGTCTGACCATCCTGCTCTCTCCCAGATCCTCACATGATAGCCTCTCTTGGGACCAGGCCTCTGACACAGAGCCCCGTGTCTCTACTGCATCTTGGCTGGAACCTCCTGAGGCTCAGGCCGCCTGAAGTTCCAGGGACACCAGGTGTCCTGCCCCACTGTGCAGCTGCCTGGGGAAAAAGCCTGCTGCCATCAGGTGCTTGATGCAGCAGGGATCACTAGCTCCCCAAGGTGTAATGGCCATGGGATGCAGTGCCCCAGGTGAGGGGCATTAGATAAGAGCCTGACCACTGTCATTTAGGTCTGAGGGATCTGGTCACAGCTGTTGGTCACAGCCAGTGCAGGCATGAGGCTGTGTGCCCTGCTGACCACACTGGCAGGTGCCCTCTTGGCGGTCCCTGGGCCTGTGGGTTGGCGGCTACCCGGCCTTACCCCTCGCTTCGAGCGTCCAGGGGATGTGGTGCTGGGTGGCAGCTTCTGCATCCTTCATTTCTACAATGCTGTTTCCCTGGATTTCACAACACTGCCTGCAGGGCTGCCATCCTCAAGGTGAGCAGGGTCCCCGGGTCCCCATGCTGTGGTGCTACAGGTCCCCACATGTTGTTCTGTGCCTGATCATCTGGCTCCCAGTTCTTGGTGACCCTTTCTGTGCATCTCCTTCTGGCTGGCTCCTGGGTAGCCAGGTCCTTGCTGTGTTCTATGCTCAGGGGCTGCCAGCTTTGGCAAGCATTCCTGGGCCTCTTCTCCTTCTAAGCTGGGAATAGGGCTAGATGCGAGACAGGTATTCTCAGTGACAAAGCTTAAGACTGCTCATCAGGAGCTGGGACTCAGGTTCCGCTGTTTTCCCTTTGCCTTTTTCTGTCCTTCAGTTTCCAGTGCAGCACTTGAGTTTTCTATTTTAAATCAAACGAGACCCCTTTCTGTGGGTTTTCTTTTCCCTGAGTTGGTGATTTCTTGGAAGTGCAGAAACTTTTCAATAATATGAGATCCCAGTTGTTGATTCTTTGAATTGTTTCCCATGTAGTTTGCATTTTGTTCATGTATTCTCTGCCTACCCTTATGTCTCCAGGACTTCTACCTACCTTGTCTTCCAGTCGATTTAGTGTCTCTGTTTTAATACTGAGGTTTTTGATCCATTTAGACATTAGGTTTGTGCATGGTGATAGGCATGGATCTAGTTGAACAGAACTGTTTGCAGTCTCACAGTTTGAATGTCTACTTTGTATGCTTTAATTTTGTAACTTCAAGTATTTCTAAGAGGATAATATATAATTTATCAACTAGTGATTTCTTACTGTTCAGTTTTTAAAATTATTTGTTATTTCTAACATTCTTTTGTTATTTTCTCTTTAAATAAAATTTTTAAAAATGATGCCCTCTGTCTGCCTCTTGGGTAGAAGCTTTCTTTTTCTCAGTAAATATATTCTACTCTTTAAAAAATGAATAAATCATACATATTTAATTTTATGAAAATTTTCAAAATGTTTTATGAAATGACATTTTGTACTACCATGAGAAATGCCCAAGTTTTTCCTTGTTCCTTTAGGACTTTCACTGGGTGTTATGTTTGAAAATTAATAAATAATAATTGTATATATGTCTGGGTCACACTTCAGCATGTTGATGTGTGTATATACACCATAGACAGATTAAGTTAAAAGAGAGTTTTTAAAAAGAAAGATTAAATTAGCCTGATCAGTGCATCCATGATTTCATGTATTTTTGGGGAGGTAAAAAGCACATTTAAAGTCTACTTTTATTAACTTTGAAATACACATTAATTTTGGTGGCCTTTACCATGCGTGGGCATCAGAGTTTATGCTCATGCATATGGCCAGTCTACCTGTCCAGCACCTCCTGGACCTGACCCACTTTATGGTGTGTTTTTTTCTGTATTTGGTTTTGAAGTCATGGCATTAACATTGAGTAATGTGTCTACTACTCTTTCTTCCCTGCTTATTCCATGCTTCCTTCCCTCTTTCTTTTTTGAACATGATTTTGCAAAATTCCTCACGCTGAGATTGATCTTGCAATCTTCCTGCCTTCCAGAGTGCTAGTATTGCAGGTGTGCACAACTACACTCCAACCTCCTGCTCCTTGTCTGTTCTGAATGACGTTGTGTGCATTCTGTGCGCACGTTCCATGGAAATGCAAGTTGTCAAACATACTGTGTGTGCAATGCATACAGGTGTCACTGACTATGCCTGCCTGTCCCATCTGCCTTGTGCTGACTGTGACCTTGGGCTTCTCTCCTCAGTGTGTCCAGCTGGGGCTACCGGGTGGCCCAGAGCTTCGTCTTTGCTGTGGAGGAGATCAACAATAGCACTCACCTGCTGCCCAACCTGACGCTGGGCTTCTCCATTCGCAACTCCGGGGACTCTGTGCATGGGGCCATGCACGAGACTATGGCCTTCCTCACGGGGCAGGAGGATCCCGTCCCCAACTACTCATGCCACCGTGGTCCTCCCCAGGCTGCCATGGTGGGGGACACACGTTCAGCCCTGTCTGTGGCCATGGCCAGGCTCCTGGGGCTCTACAAGTTTCCCCAGGTGAGTTCTTCTGACACTGTCCATCCTCCTGACACCAGGAGAATGGAAGAGGGGCTGAGGGGATGGTGACACTGAGCCACTCTGCTGTGGAAGGTCCCTTCTGTCATAGGCACACCTGACCCTGCTCTCTCCATGACCCCTTGTAATGAGAGAGCTCTCATCTCACCACTTGGGGGAGCAAACAGCTTTGGATCAAAGGCAGAGACAGCCTCATCTCATCCAGCTGCCAGGAGCGGGAGCTGAGGTTCAAATTCAGCTAGTGGGATCCCCACTGTCCTGGGTTCGAGTTGGTTCTTACAGCTGAGATAAAGAATGTAACTCTCTATCTGTGGAAAATATTTACAGGTTCATAGCCTCCCATCCTTAAAAAGAAATTTTCACTAGTCAGTAAGAGGCATGGGAAGGGTTTTATTAGGTAGAAAATCAAATGTACTCACTCAAAGAAATACAGTGCAGGACCTCAAGAAAGATTTATTTTCTGGATTGGAAACATTTTTGCTTCTCTTTAGGGGATAGAAGCAGCAGGAAAATTGGTCCACACTACGGATGTATACCAGCCTATTTATAGGTATTGGACCACTTTGTTTTAAAAAAAAGACAGCCAATTTAGACATTCCTTTGATTCTTTCAACCAGTTCCTTTTCTTGAGTATTGAGTTCTTGTTCTCTGTTTCCTCATTTAAATCAATATATAAACATAGAGTATCTCTAAGGAATTTTGGGTGTGATGGATCTGGAACAAGAGGAGCCTAAAGGCAATGCTGATATGGATCACCTTGGGCAACTGCACCTCTGCAGTGGAAATGCAGTGTTCCTCAAAGTACGATGTCTAGTTCTAATTCTGCTTGTTACCTATTTTATTTCTTGTATCTTATCATGTTTCCCAAACCTGAGACTTTTCTTCTGTACTCTAAAGTGTCAGAAGGTTCTATTTTCCTATAACCACTGCAATGTGAACAGGAGCATTGGTCTTCCCTAGTTAGGGATCCAAAGTTTCACCAGAGCTGATCAGAAGGAGACAAAATTTGTTATTTGAAGAAATCATTTCCTTTTGATTGCCTTAAAAAAGTGGACAAAGACATTAGCAAGTCATTGGTGCTCCGTGTTTTATAACCACATTAGCAAACCTGAGCAAGAAAGAAAAAGTAGAGTATTGAGGGATAGTGGCTCCAAAACTGGTTAAGTTCAGTAGCATTTGGTAGAAATCTTTTATCTTCAATATTAACCTCTATTTATTTAGGGGTATTTACTTTAATAAAACAGGCAGAATTTAAGTGTACATGCACTTTACTTTTTGTTAAAGCCATAAATTTAAAATTTATGACAATGGTGAGAGAATATACTAAACAAAACACATCTCTTTGTGTGAACATTGGGACATTAATTTTTAAGCATAGGAATTAGAACCTATATCTGATCTCTATTTCATAGGCATGAAGATGTATTGTAAAGTTTGGTTGAGATAATATAAATATAAAGTCTGAACTAGATAACAAAAATTCAGTTTATTGCACAAGGTTGACAAAGTATAGTAGCTAAAAAATTTATGTTGCCAGTTTTATTTTATAGGCACAGCTATATAAGAAGTTAAATCTTTACCTGAGTGGTACCTGAAATTACATTAAGATAAAACACTGGGAATATACTAAAAGAGGCTAAAGAACACATTTTGGAACCGCTAGTTCGGTGGTGGTGAACCTATTCGAGAACAGTGTCCAAACTGAAACACAAATTCCACTGTATAGGTTGTCTCACAGAAGACCTATTTCCGCAGAACACTGCCAGACAAAAGTCACAAAGTTTCACAAACAAAATTTAAATTCAAGAGGAAACTTAACATTATAGCATAATAATTATGATGGCTTTCTTATACTAGAATCATTAAACTCTTCTATTATCTAAAAGAATAATTTAATTTACCTTTTGGGATAAAGGAATTTATCATTTGTCTGCATTTGTTCAGTTACAAAATATTAAGTGTTATAAGTCTCACCTAAATTCATTACTTTTCAGAAATAAAATGACTTTTACAGTAGGATGTATTTGTTTACAGAAGTATATGATAGGTGGCTAAGACCTTAGTTTTGAATATCAGAGCATTACTGTCTATAATGTGTAGTGTTTAGGACATCTAACTCTCATGATAAAGTTAAGCAATGTTCACATAAACAAAAGCTGAAAAGTTTACAGTTAAACAAGTTTTGTTAGTGAATGCCAGCATAGTGAGGTGTTCTAAATTTTGTGTTTTAGAGGATTTGTATACTCAGAAAACATAAATGCATTTAATATACCAAGAGGCTAGTAATAATTAGCACCAGAGTTATTTAAAACAACTGTTCTATATATTCGCTTATGTTTTACTGTTATGGCCAAATTTAGATTCCTTGACCAGGTTTACATAATGTAATAGTACTGACCTGAGTCAAAGAATACCTTTAAACTTCCTGGACCCTGATGACCATAAAGGACTTATTTCCTAATATGCATTGTGTGTCATTCATTCATTGGTTTCCTTCTTTAGTTTGACTTTTAGAGATTGGGCCTTTCCTTGTGGTTTAGAATGGACTTGAATTCATTATGTGGCCCTCACTGGACTCAAATTCTCAGTGATTTTTCTCTCTCAGCTCTCTGAGAGTACTGGGGTTACAGGTGTGTACCACCAAGCCTGGATTGTACCTCACTTATTGAATAACTGAATGTTTCTTTGGCCAAATCCAATAGATGAAAATCATATCTTGAATGGTAGTACCAGATTTAAGGAGATGTTAAAATTTTTGACCATTTTCTATATCACTGTTTAAGAGGCAGATATGATGTGTATTGCATCAAATAAAGCATCTATTCATTATTTTGTGTGCAGTCTTAACTCTGTAAACTCTAAGCATGATAGCTTAGCCTAAGAACATCATTTTCTTCAGGTATATTAATCTCTAGTCCTATCTGTCTATGTGCCTATCTATCTTGGTTCATGAACTGAGTTTGTTTTACAATTTTGAAAAATGTAGCCATGAATACGTTTGTATGGGAGAGGTGCCCATGGTCCTGTGTCTCACCCAATGTGGAGTTTGCAAACAAAAATAAAATTTTGGCAAATACTTTTGTTTGTGAACCAAATTGTTTACAAACAAAAGCAGTAGCAAAGTATGAATATAGACATAGATGAAATTACTTTAAATACACAGAATGCAACAAAAGTGTATAAATGAGGAAAAAAACTTGTATAAATATTTTAATACTAAATTTATTGAGACATCATGAGATTAATACAGGATATCTTTCACCTCTATAATTATAAGAGGTGCTCAAAGCTGTGGCCCTTAGCTTCCAGACATTTATTAGTAAATCAAGCTGCTGAAATGTGTACACATTTTTTGTAGATTCTCCATGTATTTTATATTTTTACGTTATATATCAAGTATGAAATTATATTATTTCACTCAGTAAACCTAAGAAAGAAATCTGACACTTTGATGTATAAGCAATTCATGAAAATGCATTAAGTGACCAAATATTTTTTATCTTTCTATAGTCTTAAGAAGTGAAGAACATGGAGCTGGGGATTTAGCTCCGTGGCATAAGCCCTTCCCTGCAAGTGTGAGGTTGTGAGTTTGATTCCTGGTACAAAAAAGTATTTGAATTTATATCCAATATTTCATAACCAAGATATTGTTATGAACATGTATCGGTATTCTATTTTTATTTATTTTCTTTACAATTACTTCAGATTCTATATGATAAACTATAAACTAGTTAATATTCATAAAATACATCTATGTATAATCTTTAGCTATCAAAATCTTAAATTATTACATACAAGAGCAATGGGCATTGCATTTATAAAACCAGTTTATTAAAGATAAATATTATCTTTATTGGCTAACAAAATGACAAACTGTTAAGAATATTTACTAACTTAAAAGACATCTTGACTCTTAACAACCAATTTAAATTAGCTCACAGGTAAGACATGCGGACACAAAATATTTGAGCTAATATCATAGATGTCTATTTATCTATAAGCCAACTAGCATAGAACATTTAGAGGATCACATACACCAGAAATTTTTAGTATATGTGCTGCCAAAGCAAGCACACATATACCAGAAATTGATGGATATATTAACCTAAGTCATATAACCTTTTTACTGTCCATCTTTAAGCTTCTTATTTGCAAGTTTGATGTAAGCCACGAGTGCAGCACTCTGTGAAATTTTGAGTTTGTTTCCCTTTATTGTCTATATAACTGTTTTCTTAAGAAAGAAACTAATGGTCAGATACTTGCAAGGGCAAAAAAATAAAAATAAAAAATAAAATTGATACGAGCTTAAATTTTTTAAAAATCAAGCAGGTACAAGTTCTTTATTCAATTGTGAAGACTTAGATTAATAAGCAGGAAACCTAGACATGTAGGATACAAAACAATTACATTAAATCAGAGTCCACTTTAGATGCATTGGATAGGGTGAGTTATAATCTGATTTTTTCTTAATTTCAACTTTATAAATATAAATTGTGTAGTCACTTAGAACTTTTCGTAAGGAATATCAATTAACACTCCTTAAGGAAACAAAGTAGTGACAACATTTCCTTTAATATTTTAAACTGTCCCAAGTACTTTTTTTCTTGATAGTTAACACTATACATATAATCAATGGGAGTCAGAAAATAGAGAGATGGACTGTAGATTGTTAGATGGGATTGTTGTTTACTTTTGTTTCCTTATTGTATAATGAATTTTGAGGTCTTGTTTTTTACTCTTTACTTATACTTGGAGAAAAATTAACCTTCGAAAATCCTCCATTTTAAACTGTTCCCAAGACCATAAAATATAAAGGAGACATTTTGGCAAAGGATATTGAGTTCTCTATCATCATTAAAAATGCACTGTCCACTATCACTATCTACCTACCTTGTCTATTTTTGGAAAAAGAGAAAAAAAAGTGACAGGAAACATAGGACCCTGTTTAGATCCCTGAGGTCAGGCAGCATGATTAGAGCATC